AATTAATCTATAAACGTACGTAAACTGTCATTTCTTATATCGGACTCCATTAAAATTTATGTTCGGAGACAAGTAAAGATCGAGGGCAGAGAAGATTATCCTCGCGTTTATCAACATTTTCCGAGTTGGTACTATTCCACTGAACGACAACAACGATACAGAACACTGCTTCTGTCAACGAATAAATAATGAGAGAAAAAGAATTCTTATCCGACTGGACTGTCTACCGTCAATTAATATCGTTACGTATTCCTTTCCCGACGTCACATTTCCTTCGGTAGAATTATCCGCTGGAAAATATTCCTTTGTGATCTCGTCGAAGCTAAGCGGAGCGGATCAGGATAAAGCTCTGGACTCTTTCTGATTAATTTTTCGTCATTCTTTCATATCGTGATCACGCTTTTCCACTTTCGTGTATTTTTCTTTGTCTTTCTACGTCTTCTGAAACGGTTCCAAAGTTACAGGTTTTTGCATCTTTGATTTGCTCACAAAAATAAAGTTACACAATTTACAATAATTATTTACATATTCATTTAACACTAAAACTAAGAATAGAAAGATATATTAACACTAGAACTACCAAGCAAGTCAAAATGACTTGTCAATACACTCTTACAACGACGATTAAAATGTTGTGGCAATACATTTTCCCAGATCTTTTGCACCTTTTATTACGATATGAAAGTAAAGAAATTAGTCAATTTTTAAATTTCTAAATTTTCAAAAATTTGCCAATTCATCGATCGATCGAAAGAGATATGCGTTTATCGTCGGTAGTTCTAGTGTTAAACATAATTCTTAAGAATAAAAAAAAATAAAAAAAGAAATTGGAGATTGATTAAAAGCAAGAGTATATTATGTACAGATGCCTATAGTTAAAATCTATAAGCTTCAATTTGCTGTTTTTTTCTGCAAAAATATTTTTCGCATGTTACAGGATTATTAGTTACAATTGAATGTTAAAATTAAACAGCTTAATTCTAATACAATTTTACTTAATACTTTAACGTAATCAGGAGAGTATTTAATTTTTTGTATTTAGTTGCGTTGCGTGTTGCATTTCGACACAAGTATTTATTTTTTATAACATAAGATTTTACTAACTGACGAATGTTTTTTTTTAGATATTTCAATAATTTTTGGACGGGGGAGGGGGCTAGTCCAGGCCTACCTAGTTAGGACCTGTATACCATTATCTTCCAAAACCCCGTTAAAATCGAAGTCGTACAATCTTCGTCCTTCCATTGTAAGGAAATTCAAGCGACCCAGGATTCGCGTATAACAGATTGAAACACATCCATTACAAAAGGTAACTTCACCTTTCGTCACGCTTTAACGAGTGTATACACGCATTAATAACTGTCCGTAGCAGAGGCAGCATGTTTCTGATTGGTTATTCACGGAACGATCGTCAGACGTTAACGAGAATATAGACACTCGCGCCGTGAGCGCGCGGGTCGCTAATTCGGCGGCAATTAAATCACGTATTTACCGTATTCGCAAACTGTGTGTGACGTGATGTTGCCCCCCCCCCTCATATTCCCCTTCCACAACTCGAAACAAGTAGATGCTCGCGAGAAATTCGCGGTTGCCCCGCCGCGAACCAAGTATAGTTGCCTCACTCCGCTAATGAGGCGATTCGCGTCAAACGTGTTTTCGACCGGCACGGCGTGTCCATCGATTTCAACGCGAGGCCCTCCTCTGTGTGGCTATGACATCAGCAGAGAACATTGATTTCCGTGCGGAATGAAATGACCCATTTGACGGAGCCAGCGCGACGCGTTCGCGTAAACGTGATGTACACGGTCTGTCTAGAAACAATAACCGAACTGTTTAAAAAAAGGAAAAGCCAGTAAGGTCAATGTCCCTGTTTTTAATCATGTAAGAGTTCTATCGCAGAAATTGATTTGTATTATTTGTTTATGCAACAAACGACAAAAAAATATATATTAGATATAGAATTTAAACCTCTATTTATAATTAAATTTGAATAAAAGTATTTTTGAAAAGTATTGAAAAGTATTTTCAGAAGAATATTATTCGGTTTTCTTTGAGTCGAAGTAAAATACCACGTTGCTCGTATTAATATTCAACTTTTATAGTAAAAATACAGTTGCGATAAGTATAGAATTTATTTTGTTTCTGGAAAACTATCGACAACAATGTAATCCTGGAGTCTGCAGACGTGAAGACAATCGTAGGGCAAGAGGTAAACTCAATAATAGTTAATTTAATATGAAGTATAAAATGTCCCTATTTCTGCTCAGTGAAAATGGATTCGCTCAAATCACATTTCTTTACGACGGACAAATTTATTAAATTTATTTCTATTAAAATTCTGCCATGTATTGGACAGCGGACTGTAGCATTTTGTATAGAAACACTGAACTAATTTAAATAATTTTTTGTACAACTAATTTATTATTTAATTTTTTACATTAAATAAAAAATATATGTACTGAACAGAAGTCACGATGTCATTAGAAATAGGGACATTGACCTTAGCAGCACCGTCTACAGGAAACTGGTGTTGTCCAGCAATATATCCTTGACTGATATTGTGTCAAAGTTTAATGGCATTTGGATCGTTAGAAGCCGAGCTATAGCAACCAACGCGATAATAGGGGAGACCAGGGACAAACGTAATACTGAACGAATGTAACAACTGTTATAAAACAAATGTCAAGCGACCAACACTCTTTTCCTCTAATGTTTATAGTCAAATTCCATCTGTCACATAACTCAGTTTTCGCCAACACGCATCAGTAAGCGGGTTTTCTAATACGACTATCATATTGAAATAATATACAGTGGACTCTAAATATATTGCCATGGTCAGGGCTGTAGGGGAGTAAACTGGCAATGTGTTCAGAGCCCCCTCCATGCTGAGTTCTATCGTCACACCTCGACCTCAGCGCCTGCGCAAAAACAGGATCGTGTTGGTGCGTTGGCGTACACAACGTGGTGGGAGAGCAAATTTGTGTGCTCGAAAGTACGTGTGAAAGGGATGTGTCTCGTGTGGCAATATGTTTAGTGGCAATATAATTAGAGTCCACTGTACCAAAACTGAGTTTGCATTATTTCTTTCAATTGTGTATCTTTTTGTTTCAGTTCCATAAAATTCTATGAAAGTCTTTGTGTTATATTAAATAATTAATGTATGCATATGGTTTGCATATGGTAACGTGTTTATGAGAGATAGCGCTAGTAGTTTTGTCTTGATTTATATGCAATACCAATACAGGAATTCAAATATGAGCTTTCTAGACGTAGTTTAGGGACCCAACCAGCTCGTCTATTGATGAACTTGAGAACATAGGTATCTCATCATCAGTGGAGATAATGGAACACTCCGGAATTTGTCCAACTTCAACGACCAGTACTTTTGCATACACCTAATAAATATTTCGTTTCAAATCATGTACGCGATACTATCACGGACCCACACCCATTTTAGTAACTTTGTCCCTAATCATTTGGATTTATGTAAACGCACACGCAGTCTAGCGATAACATATTACATCACACGGATTATCCCGTTAATCGGCTGGTTCTTCGATCGTAAACACCTACGTGGACGTAATTAATGTTGGATAAGAACGATACGACGCAGTTTGTCCCAGAATAAACGCGTACACAATGTATGTAACTCGAATAGACGTAAATATTATAATACCAGGTGAATGCAAACTAAATACACACGTATGTATAGTAACGAATTAGTTTGTTTTCGTCGGTTAACATGTTAATCAAACAAATAAAAAAGAATCTTGATTATCCTTGACATTTACACTAAGGCTTGGAAAGACTTTAGCGTCTGTAAATGAACGAGTTGATAAAAAATGGGACATCGAACAATCGATGATATCATTTTTTTATATCGTTAATTTATACAGACTGAATTATACACACATCACATTAGACAATTGGTATACGAACACTACGTAACGACGGAGTTGGGCATTATTTAAAGTATGCTCTAATTAAATAAGACATTATTTCTTATTTAGAAATTCAAATGAAGATAAGAAATATTTATCGCTTACTTGAACGAATCTACATAAATTATTCAAATAATAAAGTTACGTTTTTTTTTTGCAAACGTAGGTATAATTATCATTTCTTTAGTAGGTATTCATTACTTATCAGTTATGAAACAAAATACTCTGTATTTTTTGTCCATTTGGACCAAAACTAAAAATTCTTTATTTGCTTTTTGTTTATTCAAAGTAAAAAATAATCTTTCAATTTGCAAATAAATTATGTCATTTATCTGGGAAATCATTGAAATAAATTGCGTTCAAGAAAACAATTTAATTCTCATTTACACCTCAAATTTTATTTTATTTACTACTTATTATTATACTGTGGATGTTTATGCGTTTATAGCAAATTTAAAGACTGCAAAATATCCGAAAATGAAAACTTCGAAAAACAAGTTTTTATCACTCTACTTTAAAAAAATTAACTTTAAACTATTATTCTAGTCGTATTATTTCTAATTTAATAAACCTCTTACCAAATGAAATTAGTTTCTCTTTGGTTCTGGTTTCTACGAAACGAACTAGGGTAAACACACCAATGAATGAACACTTAAGAGATTTTCAAATCAATTCAATCAAACTTCGCCTGATATAATTTCGATGAAAAATTATTTCAAATGATTAGAAAATAAAATAACATGTTATTTGAAATAATATTTCAAATAATATTATTTCAGACGTGATCACAGGCATGGAAACAATTGTAAAATAAAATAACATATTATTAGTCGTATGTTATAGTTAAAAAATATTATTTCAAATAATATCATTTGAAAAGTGTCCAGGTGCATCTACTCTACTAAAAATGAGAATTTGCACAATCACCGGCAATCTACTTCTTAGAATTTTATATCTAAATAAAACTACCCAACGACAGCGTGACGAAGATGCAGTAACGAAGAAGGTACAGATAAATTCTTATAGACCACAAGTGGAGAATGAAGTTTATCGACTTACTTGCGAGAGCGCAATAACGACGTTAGCGTTCCCTTCGCCTCTGTAAACAACAGAGTCCTCGACAGAGAACGTCCTGGGAGGAAAGGGAAGCTCCGAGCTCGCCGGATAAACGTCGCCCGAACTTCCGGTGGAAGTGGTCATCGATTCCGAAGAAAACATAGTGGCCGCCGCAGGGTTTCCTTCGCTGATTCTCATTTTGTATTATTCCTGTTCCTGCGAAAACAGATACGGTCTCTAGTAAACAACACTCGCAGGAGTTGTGATTAACCTGTTCAGGGATGAATTTATTATGATCAGAAAAATAGATTTTTTTTCTATTCTTCAGCTGTATGTATTTAAAATATATTTGTGGATATTAACGTTGATCAATTGGTGAGATATCTTCTTTTTTGTTGGGAAATTCCCTAGTGAATATTTATTCACAATAATGTTCATTATATCTTTTGGAATCGTGCTTGAAGGAAAAAGAAACTAAATGTGCACATATGTGCCAGTATCCCTCAAGAGGTTAATTATTGCACACCCTTATTGTTTATAGATAATCAATGGACTGCGGATGTTAATGTATTTATGCTTGCAAAGCACGACAAAATGAAGCTTCCAGTCAGATTTAGAAGAATATATAGAGTCATTGGAAAAAAGGGACATAATTCAAAAAAATTTGATTTTTTTTCTATTTGCATAATAATAATGCAAATGTGGTGTGTTTTTGTACGTGGAAAAGTGTCATAAAGCTAAAAAAAGATTAAACAAGGTAGACGAGATTATTGATGTGATGTTTTGAATATCAGTGATATTTGACTTAAAAGGTTAAATTTTTGGCTGCAGTTCTGAAATGATTCACTTTTTGATTTTGGTGAAACTTGGTTAAATGGTCTCAAATACTCCCAAATAGGGGATTTGAGCATAAAAACCTTGTAAAAGAATTTTTAGTGCATTTGAAAATTAATATACATACATAAATATATCTATATATATGGAATACTATAAAACTTTATTATATATGTATGTGTATTGATATATTTACATACGTACATTAATTTTCAAATGCGTCACAAAATCTTCTACATATGTTGATTTAGGAGTATTTGAGACAATTTTACCAAGTTCCAACAAAATCGAAACATGAACCTTTTCGGAATACATCTAAACTTTTAACGTTGGCTACCAATCGTAGCGCGTAACCAACGTTACCGTGGGAACTTGGCCGGCAGACTCGTGCTCGTATTGGTCGGGGTTTTTCGTTAATATCTCGTTAACAAAGCCTTAAATAACATTTTTGCTAAGGAAAAACTTGTTTTAGATCACCTCACAAGTTTCCCTTTTCTGGGTGCTCCAACATTTTTATTACACCCTGTATATGTATGTCTATGACACCAACTTACGTTTCTTTCGACTTATGGAATCAATGTATCGTACGTAAGTCCGGGGCTCCACTGTAACTACAAGGAATATACGGCAATAAAATCAATGTCCCTATTTCTAACACGTCCAAATTTCTGTTCAATATGTATATTTTTTATTTAATCTAAAAAGTGAAAAACTAAATTAGTTACCCAAAAAAATTATTTAAATCAGTTCAGTATTTCCGTACAAAATGCTACAACCAGCTGTTCAACAGATGACAGCATTCTAATAGAAATAAATTTAATAAGTGTGTCCGTCGTGAAGAAACATAACTTGAGCGTGTCCGTTGCGATTGTGAGTTACACGTGGACGCTGTGTTCTTACTAAAAAAAACTTACGGAATCTTTAGTATTGTTCGCCAAAGTTTGGTTTTAGCACTTCCATTTTCGCTTAGCAGAAATAGGGACACGTTCGTGAGCACAAATGCGAGCATTTTTATTTTCGCCGAGCAGAAATGTTTTTATAAATATTTTTGTTTAAATTTAATTATAAAGGGAGGTTTAAATTTTATATCTAATAAGTGTTTTTGTCGATTGTCGCATAAATAAATAATAAAAATCAATTTCTGCGATAGCAGAACTTTCACGTGATTAGAAATAGGGACATTCACCTTACTTACAGATGGGTCAAAATGATCCTGCATTCGCTGTACGAGGATCAATACGCGTTACATGCTATCGAATTTTTGCGTTATTTCTATTGAACACACCCTGTATACGGGTCGAAGATGCGTTAAGTGTGCGCACACGTCCTACAAAAACACAATAAACCGGCCCAGTAAGGGGACCAACCCGCATAAGGGGCTGCACTGGTGGACACTCCTCTATATGGCAAATGAGAGGAAATGTTTTTTCACCCTAGAGCAAAGCAGCTCGGCGCAATCTAATTGGCCGAGAAACATACAGTAAATTATTCATTGATGCGACTAAGTTCGTATAAATAGTAGGTATAGTATACACACTGTGTTGCACGGTTTGGAATATTGTAACCCATTCAATCGTATCTTTTGTATTTAACCCACTGATAATTGCGTCCTCGATATGCTCGTTGACTGTCCCCAGATGCCAGAGATTTTAGCACTAGAACAGTAACATGGTGTCACCGCCTATATTTAATTCTATCTTACAGGAATAATCAAGTGTGAAGATGTGTGCAATTTACTATACTTCTCGGGTAGTGATTAAAACGTAGTGGATATTTAGATTTGTGTCACATAAAACAACACGTTGCGTTACAGAACACACGTGTTAAATGCAAGTGTGCAGTTACTGAACACAGATTAGCAATTTATATTGATTGCACTGAATATATGTAATTTGTTAATACGAAAGTTCAAATTTATCATCTGATATTTTAAGTATACATTATCAAATTTGTGTCATGTAATTGAAAGTGTAAGTTCACGTTTCTTTTTTTGAAGTTACAAGTAAAAATAATCTACTTAAATTCATTTGTTAGGTATTATATATGTCATATTAAATGAATACGTATTATAGAACCTCATAAATTTATGTTTTTATTAAAAACTTTGTTTATAACTCGTTATTTAGTTAGGATCACATACGAGAAATGCCAAACCCGTCAAAGTGACGAATTTTAGATTCCTTGTTTTACAGTTACTAAAATTTGATAAAGGTACTTTTCTCGGTATTCGAGTAGACCTTTAATTTATTATACACTCTATATTATACTATATTAAGTTGTGTTGTATTATACGCTATACATACTAAAATATTACAAAATTTAATTTACTGTATACATAATGTTGGTAGTTCTAGTGTTAAGCTTCTCATATAGGTATTAGACGAGTTTCGATAAAACAAGTTATAATTAGGTTATTTATTTTTAATTGAAGTTACGCCAATGATTTGTTTCCAGATTAAAGATTTTATAAAGTCCAAAGCAAAGTAAAATAAGAAAATGTTTACTGTCTTGCGTTTTACACATGCTTATTTCGAGATAAATGCACAAAATCCACATCTATTGATAATGAAGCTCGGTGCATTTTCTATTGTTCGAAGAATTTTTTATTCGAATCTGCCTAAAATCTCGATAATTTTCTTTAGGTTCACGGAAAGATACTTACGAGGTTTAGTTTGTCATTCCATTTCATCGAAATTCAAATTTCTATTTTGTGTTGGTCAAGTTATACCAAAAGACTTTTATAAATAGCGCTATCAGGGGCAAGTAAATCCAGAAAACGTTATCACCAGGATTGATTTATCTACATTATAATGGATTTCTTCCGCAATAAGAGACTCTTAAGCTACAAAGTCGGATAAAAAACCATTCGCATTATTTTCTTCACAAACCAACGATCATTTTGCCGTACGCAGTGAGTGATTAAGATTGAGTGAAATTAAGTGAAAGTTGCTTAAAGGCCACGCCGCCGTCTTCCAGGTCGAAATTTTCGAAACACTAATGTCTACCGCACGTTGTTGCCCGCTAGTAAGTTTGGCGGGCGCTGAGTTGCCCATCACTGGTCTACCGGTTTTTAATCCGTGGTCGAGAGTCGTGTACGCGTTCACGCTCGAAATTGCGAAACAACTGGCGCGCGTGCTCGCGTGGAAACACCCGATCAAGCAGCTGATTCTCGATCAATAAGAACTCAATTATGCTGTTTCGCATCAAATCTTTCGGGATCGAGCTTCAGTTGACCTCTGATTGAGCGCGACGTCAGTGACGGAGGAAATATATGCTCCGATAACACGTAATCTTTGGCTTTAGCACCGTTTTGTCGATGAAAATTTTCGAAAAATCAAAATAGAATTGATTTGTTTTACGGCCAAAATACCAAATATACTAACGAAATACATAAAAATATTGTGAAATGAGAGCTTTTGAGTCAGGATCAATAGAGTTTTATCTGATTGTAAATTTAAGTATAATTAAATGAGATAAATTTTTTGGTTTTTGTAAAGTAGTCGATAAAATGTGCAATTATCAAGGTTCTACTGTATTGACACTTTGATGAATATAATTTTAGTCGTGACTGGTCTGGGCTAGGTTTAATGAACCTCGATACTTGTACATATTTTGAGCTCCATTTTCGTGCAATTATCGAGGTTCTACTGTATTGACATTTTGAATGTAATTTTATTCGTGATTGATCGATTGACCTTATTGATTATATGAACCTCGATATTTACTTTTATGCATTTTCAGCTTCATTTCGGTGCAACTATCGAGGTTCTACTGCACTAACACTTTGAATGTAACTTAATCGATTAGTTATCTTATCAATTGCACGAACCTTGACATTTGCATGCATTTTCAGCTCCACTTTCGGACAATTATCAAGGTTCTACTGTATTGACATTTTCAATGTAATTTTAGCCATGATCGGTCGATTAGTTACCTTATTAATTGTATGAACCTCGACACTTGCTTCATTTTCAGCTCCACCTTCGGACAACTACCGAGGTTTTACTGTATTGACATTTTCAATGTAATTTTAGCCATGATCAGTCGATTAGTTACCTTATTAATTGTATGAACCTCGACACTTACTTCATTTTCAGCTCCACCTTCGGACAACTATCGAGGTTTTACTGTTTTGAGATTTCGCCTAATGATTTGTGAACCATTTAAAAGAGAAGTTTCCGCGTTCTCGACACATTTGATTAATATTTGTCTTCCATGAACCATCGATCATTGTTCAACTATCGAACAACCGTCTGATGCCAACGTACCCATTAAACTTTTTCCTCGAGTGTACGCTGTTTGGAAAAACATCGTGGGTGAGCGTCTGCGTGGCGTTACGCCTTTAAACCAAGCGACTGTGCAAG